CGTGGAAGCGCATGCAGAGAGGCTAGTAAATTATAACATCCGAAATCTGCCCTCAACTCTCTCTCAGCCTCTCCTTCGTTTCCTGACCCTAGCCGCACACAACACTCAGTGCTCTCATCTCATCGCATCATTCATCTCCATCTTCATCACCTTTGGTAGAAAATGTCATCACCTTTGGCCTCTTCTTCTCCCCAGTGTAATCTCTCTCTCTCTCTCTCTCTCTCACTCACTGTTTCTCTGTAGATTTGATGGTTCTCTTGTTCAAGTTTCTGATTTGCGTTCATATCTCTCATGGCTTTTGACTTTAATGGGTTCATAACTTCATATTTCTCATGTTTAATGTGCTGTAATGTTTAATGAGTTTGAATGTTTAAATTTCTATTTTTTCTTTTTTCGGTAAAATTAATGGATCTTCCCATTAGTGAGATATATATATGGGTTGTCTTTTTTCTGGTATGCATTTATGTGCTTAATCTTTCTTATTTATTTATGATTAACAACTTTTAAAATATGCTGGATTGTTTGGGTTTGTTTTGTTGGACTAGCCACGATTCTTTGAAGTGAGTTTACCTCAGTAGAATCCGGTAAAAAAATAGGACCTTTGGCCTTTTCCTTTCAATTAAAAATTAAGATTTTGGTGCTTGTGTTTTATGCATGATATTAGTGGTAATCGAAGTCAACTGACTCACATGGTATACAGGGTGAGTATTGCACTTTCTTAGAAATAAATACTTGAAAATTTGTAGGGTCCAAGTCTACAGAGGGATGGCAAGTGATTAGGTCTTTGAACAAGGTTGTGAAAACTTAAACAACTCGCTTACCTTGAGTACTAATAATTTCTGCTCTCTGGTTCTTTGTGAATAATTTGCATTTAACTAAGCCTGAAATCAAGCAGCATAGATGTACTGGCCTGAAACTATTTTCTTTTACTTAGTAAGATGCTCATACTTGTTTAAGGTCTTAAAATCAAATTTTAATGGATGAAATCTGGTGTTTGTTGGGATTGAATGTGGCTTTAATAGAGGTCTCTGTGTATGCATGGTTGCGACTCCAATTATTTTGAACTGACACACCAACTCTCTCTTTGCATAGTTTTTGTGAGTATTTATTGTCAAGTTTTGTACTGTATAGGTATCCTCAGAATTCAGAGGATGCCATTTCTGAGTCTAGTCCAGTATACGGTTTAAGTTTGTATTTTTTCAATTCATTTTAATTTTTTTAAAAGACAACTCACCACCACTGCAATTTCTCTCTCGTCTCTTTTTTCACCCAGCCATGAGCGTGAGCGAAAAGAGGTTGTCAGTCAGATTGAGCGAGATCGAGCCCCAGAAAAGACCTCGATCAGAACCCCCTTGCAACAAAGAGTCCAGGCCCATACTGGATCTAGAGGAGGTGCGGGGTAAGGGGACTTTCGTATGGCAACCTTACGACAGCAGTGATGACGAAGATGAGGGCGATGGGGACGTGCATTATATATTCAAGGGTAACTTTGACAGCAGAAGGGAGGCGCTACGGGAAGAAAAGGCAATACGCAGACGTCTTAGAGGAAAATTGCCCGAAGAAAAGCAAAAAACCACTGGTAATTAATTACCCAAAAAATTGAGACTTTTGATTTTGATTTTGATTTTATTATATCTTTTTATTTGGGACGGATCGTAAACAAGGTGTTGAAAGGGAATTTCTATTTCAATTGCGGAATTTCATAATTAAATCGTAAATTGGACGGGATCAGATTTTCGGAGAAAGCTTATCTGGTTTTGTTTTGTTTTGTTATGTTCTTTTTTTTTTTGTTCAGCGGAAGCGGAAGAGCAAACCAGAAAGGGGCGATGGTTTTGTGTCGTCAAAGGTATGGTATTATGTGTTGTTTTATCCTTCATTCTTTGTTTTTGAGACAAATTTCATTAAAAAATTATGGAAACCCTCCATCCCAAAAAATATTCTAAAACCCTAAACCCCAACCCAGTAATTTCAGCTCAAACAAACTAAAGAAGAATAGTTTCGGTTTCAAATGAAATGTATTTTTGTTGGATGAATTTATGAAATTGGGACTTAACTAGTGAGCTAGCCCTTAAATTCTTAACTGTGTTCCTGGTTGTCCATAATTTTCAGATGGGATTTTTGGGTCTTTTAAAAGTATGTCAGGAACTGGAACATGGTTATGGTGTCATAATAATGGGATTAATTACCATGCTTGACTATAAATAACCCAAATGCTTGCTTGTGCAGACCCTGGGGATCCTGTTCACTGTCTGGTTTGTTTGAAGGATCACCCGCTCAACATTTGCCCATACCTCAATTATGTCCCTAAGGGCGCAGAACTTGGCCCCAAAGCTATGTTAGTTTGTAAATGTTGTAATCAGGAGGATGGCCACGGTAACCGTGATGACTGGGTAGGAGTTGCTGCTTATATTACGTGTTTTAAGTGCTTTGCTAATTATGACCACAGGACTAAAGACTGCCCCTTGGGAAACTACAATATATGTTGGTATTGTCGCCGTAAGAGCGAGCAGCTGAGTTGTGACTGCCCCAAGAATTAAGCAACGATCGCACGCTGGGAGTCAATATCGGTTGCCGACTGTATGCAGAGAGGCCTACGACCTATATATATAACTAGTGGATCTGAGTCCATGCTCGGTTACAAATATTAATTAGTGGAACTGAGTCCCTGCTCCAATTCGATACTTTGTGTAAGGATTGTAGTTGTTGCTTTGTTTGACTCTTCTCTTTTTTTGGAACAAAACCATTGTAACCTCCTTGAAAATACTCCATTGCCTTTTTTTGAGTGGATTTGGGGAGCAGCTGTATCTTAAGTCATTTCTGAAATCTTAATGGTCATCCCTGTTTGTTGTTGGTTGTATAAGATTTAATGGTATCTTCTTGGTGGACTGCTGTTTACTGTTGTTCAGTTTACATCTATAAAATCCTTTTTCCATGCTTAGAAAGATGAAGAAACGTAAATTTCAATTGCACTTGATCATTTCTGCATCATATATTCTTCCAATTTCTAAATTTTAATGCTAGGTACAAATTTTCAATGGACACCTAAACGTTAATATTTTTTGTCATAGAACCAATCAAGTCCTAGCACTAATGTATTCTACTCTCACTATTTACAAGTTTGAGTAATCAGAGAAACTATAGGACTACCTATTGCACTAGACGTGTTCTTTTCTCTCTACACAAAACTTAACTTCTTTTTCTGGTTCCCAGAATCAGACATATAAAACAAAGATTCACTGAGCTACCAAAGGAACTAACATGATAGAGTTAAATTATTTGGGAAATTTCCTATATCATAGATGGAAATTTCCTAGAAATCAAATTCTGGAAGTGAAGGCCACCAACGTCATGAATAAGAACTAATCTTATCCTCTATTCAAGTTAGGGTCCATTTGGCATAGCTAAGTTTATTTCAACAAAACATCCTTAAGGTTCACGTACCTGTCACAAATGGTCCCTACGAAATTTTTTTATTTTTTTATTTAAAATTCATAAGAAAATACCACAAAGTGTTTACTTCCAAAATGCAATCACTGCAGCTACCATCAAAATGATTAGGGTAAGATCTTGCCCAGCTTCCCAGGGAAATGTCTATCAAACAACACAAGGAAATATTACAACAACACAAATCTATCTTCTTCTTCTTCTTTCCTAATTATTTCTAATTCATAAAGCTCAAATAATCACAATTGTAACAAAACTTACCCATAAACTCCTCGCTTTTTTTCCGATGATATGTGTTTGTTCTAAATTCACTTTTCCGTTTTAGTAAATCAGCATCATCTTCATGAATTTCCTTATCTAGATTTGTCTTCAATTAATCTCCCAACCCTTTGACCTGATATAAGAAAATAACCAAAGAAAAATATAAGCAGCAATGTTTATGTATCAAGTCTGTCACGCCCTGAATTTTCAACCACAAATAACCCTTAAGTTATTACAAAACAAACCAATCCGGGACGCGAAGCTCGAAACCTAGTACATAGAAAATTTTATTTTCCTACAATCCGTTCTATACCCACAATGTAAATACACACTCAACTCTTCTAATTCAAATATTACATCACACGAATTAAATAATAAATTGAATAATCAACCTATTACATAAAGTACTCCTTAAGCTCATTACACACAACAGAAGTCTTCACATTATCACACAAGCTTTTTCATTAGCATTACACAATACTTGTATAATCAATGTACACATAATCAACAACATCATCACGATCACTATTCTTTTATTTTGAAAGAATTGTCCGGTCAACCACACTCACAAAACTGTTTCAAATCCGTTTTGAAACAGATAGGGCCACTTGGGCCTCTTGGTCAAAATTGACCAAATTGACTCTTCTTAAGCCCCTTTTATTAAAACTCAATAGGCCTTGGTTCTCAAACCGGTTTCTTAAGTTACTTTTCATTTCTTATGTTCCAACATAATCAATTAACTATTTAATTAATTATCTCTTCAATTAATCTAATTAATTGAATTATCATTGTCTTCGTCATCATCAATTATTTACCCAAATGACGAGCTTATCGTTGTGCGATCTATTAAGATTAACGAGGTCGTGGGCGATCCTTGAACTCTTTTTTTAACGAATGTGAATTAAAACTCCCTTTTAATTCTCCCTTTTATGAGGACCCACTTACGGAATGTTCTTAGGACTTCCACAAACCTTGAGTAACTTCCAGCAACATGTCACGACTATCCAAGCTAATATGGAATGTGTTTGGAGAACCCATTCAATTGGTATTGCAACGCAATTCGATCATTTTCTTTTATCAATGTTCTTGATCTAGCTAATAGGCCTGGGCGAGGTCCGGTTTCCACCTTACATCGAAATCGAAACCGAAACCGGCACTATTCAACTAGTGCGGTTCGGTGCAACTTTTAGAATAAATGGGTGGATAACCGCACCAACCTGGACTGCCAATTTTCGGTGCGGTTTTCTGGTTTCCAGTTCTGCAGCAGCTTCTTCTTTTATTTGTCCAGGTACTAGCTCCAAATTTCAAAAATTTTAAATAAAAAAAAAACCTATAATACCATAGCTGGACAATCTGTCTTCAAAAGTACATCAAACAATGTGCATTCCCTGTAGATTATACCCTTAATTTCCACAAAAAACAAAACAACCCGACTAAAACAAAATTCCCAAATTAATTTCTACAAACCCTAATTTTGCAATCAAACAAACTAGATTTGCAACCAATGTACGAAGGAGATGGACGGCCACAAAGACAAAATCGACGAACATCCATGGAAACAAAGCCCATCAGTTATATCAAGGAGAAAATGAGAAACACATACAAGAAAAATCGGAAAAAAGGAGAAAAACAGTGATAGAAGAAAGAAAAAAGGTAGGGTAGAAGAAAGAAAAAAGGTAGCGAGAGAGAAAAAAAAATAGAAGAGAGAGAGAGAGAGAGAGAGAGAGAGAGAGAGAGAGAGGATGTTCTTATTGAGTCAATCGTATTTTCTTATTGCAATCATTGGCCAGGTCGGGTGGTGGTTGTTTGGGATCCCCCAAGTGTTTACATGCAGTGCAGCAGACACATTTTTCAAGCTCTACAGAAAATCAATTCTTAGGACAAGCATTTTGGAAAGATATCACTAAGTTACAAAGTTGAATATATACAGTGCTTAATGGACTGGACAGGCAACATTAGAAAAGGAAATAGGAAAAGAGGGTGGTGATATGGGATTTTATGTCTAACTTTTACTGCAGGCAATTAGCACTGTAAGCATATAGATTAAAAGGATAACACCGAAACAGCCGGTGATTATATAAACAACTAACAAAGTGGGATATTACCAGCAATCAACACTATTATAGCAGAAAGAAGTGAAAACAGGAGGATTATGACAGCTTTGGACTAAAATTCTTCCCCCAAGAATTTTCACCATGTGAAGAAACCAAATAAAGCCAATGGTCATGTATCCAACCAACAAGAGAAATTAGTCTCCTAACTGGCCACATATAAGAATAACAAAGCCAGTTCCATACAACTCTGAAGGTCTCACAAATTTTTGTCCATGGTGAATTCACAGTGGTGTGATCAAGTTAAAAAGAAGACTAAAGCTAATATATAAATTTAACTGTAGTCCCTCAAGATGGACAAGATGTGATTCTCTAAAGAGCCTAACACACACAAACACAGACATATAAGCAATAACGGACTGAAGCCAAATACAGGAGGGATGTTCAATAAGATGCAAAGGACATCCTCTCACGGCCCACCTGAGATTTATATAGATTCTTAATTTGTCCCTTAAAAGACAACTTCAATGGAAAATATTCCCTCCCAGACTCTTTTTCAGCTGTATCCCAGAGTGAAAAAAGTCCCTCAGACCCAGAATGTTTCTCCTATCCAGATGCCCCAACCCCCAGACCTAGAATGTTCTTCATTCTCTTTCTTGACATACAGCTCACCATACTCCTGGCTAACCCATATGTACACACACAAAAGAAAATATATGTATAGAATCTATGGATATCATAGAGACTCAACCAAAGAGGGGGAAAGTTAAGAGTACACTCTTCACCCCCTTTCTTCTTCTCTCCCAAGAAAAGAAAAGGGTGAGAAGTGTGCATAAAAAGCATGAAAATTGAGAACTTTAAATTAAATACTGTATAACTCAAAAACTTCAAAAAAACATCTGATGCATTAGAGGAACAGGAGGTCTGGTGGAAAGTTTTTCAGCCATCTCTTTGAAATATGTAATTTGACAAGAAGGTTCCTTAAATGTAATGAAGGAAATCAGACCCACACTTTTAACTTGTCATTTGTTTTTTGAAGTTCTATACAAGTTGCATGTGTAGGAAACTGTTGAAGAAAGCTTGTGGCTCACACACACCACGTGTATAATGGTTAAGAAAGTTCTTTCTTGGAGAGGCTATGTAAGATAATCACATGCATATTAGAAAACATCGCATCAATTACAATATACAAAACAAAAATGCATTTATACAACAGGTGAAAGCACACATAAAAGAAGTCAATAGCCATACCACAATCCACATAGTATGGAGAAAAAAAGTATCTTCATTGACGACTTTTATTTATCTCGATCCCAATGAGTTCCTGAATGGGTTGACGGCAGATAGGGCATTTATTGGATTGAAGCGTCAACTCTTTTGCACAATCGCTGCACATACACTGGAAAAGACAAATAAAATGAGAATAAGAAACTGTAGTCTTAAAAGTGAAAAGCAAAGGAATAGAGGTGTTTATCCTAGCTTGCAATGTTGTATACAATTCTTGGAGTTATGAAGGACTCAAAACTATAATAAAAAATTTGATTTCTCATCATCTAGAGAAAATACATTTAGGGTACTTCAAAAGAAATTTGAAAAAGAGATGATAAAAACCAGGGTACCATGTTAGTGACCCAACCATCCAATGCTCTCACTCCTACTGATACTTTAGCAACTACTAAGATGAACTAAGAAAACTTGAAGGTTAGCAGTAATCTCCTCTAGGACCAACTAATGGTAGATGGTGATCAGATGAGTCAAGCCCATGTGCCGCGAAGAGTTCATTCACAAGACACATGCTCGAGCACAATGTGCTTGAGCCTTCCTGATCATTATTCTTAACAGCATTTCTACCATATGGTACTAGTACAGATTCACCAGCATAATCTATGGTAATTAGCTCTCTCTCTCTCTCAATATAAATATCTAATCTTAGATAAAGTCTCACCATATGTCGACAAGGTAGCACAGCAGTGTCCTTAGGTTCAGTCATGCATATCACACACTCCTTCCCAGGGTCATTGTCATCAAAGCCTTCCACTGTCGAGCTTGCTATTCCATATATCTCACGTAGCTCATAACGAACTTCATCAATCCACAGTATCTGCCTAATTACTCTCACTTGGAAATGGTCACCATTGTTCTTTTCTAGTACAGCTTGAGTAATCTGCATACGAGGGGATGTATCTGGGGTAGCCTCAACAATATGCTCATCTGTTGAATGAGGTGGAAATGTTTCAGCAGATATTACAAGCGGAAATACATCTTCTCCGGGTGATGGTTTTGAAAGATCATCCAACTCAAAGAAACCTAAATCAATGCCTGTTCCTGAGGGCTGACGAAATTTTTGCCCGGAAACCTTCTGAAAGGGGACTCTCACTGGCACAAATGCTTCAGGGAATAGTGGAACAAACCTACAATCTGGCTCTTCCTTGGCAAAGTAGAACACTGTAATGCTGTCAATAAGAAGACATGATCATATAAACAGAACATGATATACCCCATAAGAAATGAAGATCACAAAAGCACTGATAATTAGGAACAAAAAATAACCAATAGCCTCTGATGCGAAGGCCTCAATTTTTCGATTTGCCTCACCCAGCTCCTTCTGAGACTCGGACAACTCTGCGCCTAGGCCACGCTTCTCTGCAGTTAACTTATTTACCAACGACAGCAGATCGGCATTCCTTTTCATCTCGGCATCAAGACGACCTCGCACGAGCTCTAGCTCCTCCTCCACCTTGGCCTTCTCCCCATAGGTCCTGTTCAGCTCGGCCATAGTCATGGCTTGCTCGTCCCTCTTTCCTCGGTCGAAATCTCGATGAGCAGCTACATTCTGGGCAGCGACGAAGAGCTTGAATGTAGCCTGCAGCAAGACAACAGAATGGGGACAGGTCTGCAGAGCAATATACAGCCAGAATGAGGTCAGAACCTGTTACCTTCAGTTGATCCTCCAGAGCCGACATGGTCATGCCACTACCCAATTTCCTCAGGAAACATGCTCTCCCCAACCTCCACTTTCAATACTCGCCTAGCCGCTTCTTGATAGCCACTCAACGCTCGCTCACTGTCCACCCAGGGTTCCAATGGTCCTGTCACAGGGTCCACACTTGACCTCTTTCCTGCCTGAGGAACTGCCGAGCTCATTGCCCGCTTACCCGTGTCTCGCCTCGGCTCACCCTCAGCACGCCTCTTGCCCGTGTCTCGTGCTGAAGCCTCCTCGGCTCGTCTCTTTTGCCCTGTTCGAGATGACTTAGCAGCCACGCTCGCGCCTTGACTCCTGGCCACTGATATATGTGGCGACCCTCCCACCCGAGGCGGTTGTGATGCACAGGCCGACCCGCTTTCCGACCCCTTGGCCAGCTTCATAAACTTCGCTTGCATACTGGGGTCGTTTCGATTAGGCCTCATCCCTGCGTATACACGAAGGGGAGAGCAGTCATTTACCTATCGATTTGCTTAGTCCCTCACTCGCTAGAAGAATGTCTGCAGCTCTCTCACTGCTCAGCAACGCAAGCACTTGACCAACTTGCTCTTGATCGGTAGCGGACAGATCGGCTCGGCAACGCAAGCACTTGACCAACTTGCTCTTGATCGGTAGCGGACAGATCGGCTCGGCAACGCAAGCACTTGATCAACCTGCACTTGATTCCACTGCAGTAGCCATGTGTTAGCACACCAAAAACAAAAAAGAAAAAAATAACAGCACAAGGGGCGAATAGGCAAATGAAGCAAAAACCACCCAACCCCTAGCAACACACACAAAGGCAAAAAGACCCGAGGCGTAGAACCAGTGCGGTTTCCATGTCTTTTAGGAAGAGGGATTGCTCTCTATCATTTTCCTCATCGCACTCTGAAGATAGCTGAAGCCGATTTGGTATGGACTCCTCTTCAATAGGAAGCAGTGCAACATTTGATGTGGAGCCACACCGACCCAAGCCATCCATTTCTGTAGGAATGGAGATAACAGTAGCTGAACCACTTGCGTCAGCATATCAACACACAACGTCACCCAGCCAAGGGGGGCGTGCTCGGTTTCTCATTCCCGGTCGGTGCTCTTAGCCTCACACTGATCGGAATGGCATACTCCTCTCTCAAGCGTTGTAACTTTTGTTGGGTCATCGTGCTCGGGTGATCGTCAGCTGACCATCCGTCCTTGATCTCCTCTGAACCCACATGACTGTCTACTCCACCACCCAAGCCAGATACGGCCACTGTGACTACCTCTGACTCCTCCCTCACCTTCTAGTTCGCCGCTTGCTCGGATGTACCCACTTCACCTTGCTCGAAAGTACCCATTTCACCTTGCTCGGCAGTACCTACTCCACCTTGCTCAGCCAACCCAACCCCTTGGTACTCGAAATTCCCACTGAGACCAATGGGCATGTCCTCTCCCATCTGATCGGCCGCCTCGCACATCTGCTCCACCACATCATCGTCCTCCCTATCATCCCTAAATACAGACCTATGCTCGGCGTCTCTTGCGAATCAGACATGTCTGATGGGCTTGACATCGCTCTACTGCTTATAAACACTTCAAACAACCGAAGAGGGGCAGGGGTGGAATCTAAGAATCAAACCGTACCAAAACAAGAAAAAACCGACGAACACTAACACTCCAAACCCAGGAAAACCAACCTACACACAGAAACGACTTTGGGAAAGGAAGAAGGATGAGGAAGGAAAGAAAAGAAAGAGGAAGGGCGAATGCTTACCGGAAATTTTTATTGCCGCAACGTCGGACCAATTCCTTCACTAAATTCGCTCAAAAATCGCTCAGAGCTCTCGCACGGCAGCAATGGTAGAACACTCGCACGAACGTGCCCTCCTCTTCCATTTATATCAACCACCCGATCATCCCCACCGTCCATTTTGAGCCTGCCCTGATCACGATGCTTGCACGTGGTCACACCACTTGAGCCGTTAGTTGAAGCGGCAGCAAATGTATCTGATGCGACCCTTCGGAAAGGCCATTAAATGCTTGGCGTAGCCAATCAACCAGAGCCACGTCACTCGTACTCGAGTATCTCCAATTTAAAACCTGGCACCACAACCCATCTTCCAAGGACCCTGATCAGCTGTAGACTTGGGGGCTATACTACCCGACCCTTGCTACGGCTTGGATAATGAGGGCTCGACTCATCTGAATTGGAGAGGCTAAGCAACTCCCCACCCAAGATTGGCTCCTTGAGTTAAGAGTTGGGGGGCTACTGTTGATAGGCCATACCACCACTATGAGACGAGCCCACTAGAAGACACCCCGTGGCATTGGTAAGCCAGGTCACTTAAACATACCGAGCCGATCTTGAGGGCAGGGTGTGACGAGGGGCTCGACCAGTGGTCGGAAGTCTAGAGAAATCGTTATACGGGTTGAAACAAGCTCCAAGGGCATGGAACTCAAAGTTCACTGGATACTTACCTTCTCTGGGTTTCAAAGTCTCTTAATCTGATCCCAATTTATTTGTCAAGCATCGTGGTTCAGATGTAGTCATCTTACTTCTTTATGTAGATGATATCATTTTAACGGGTTCTAATACGAGTCTCATTCAAGAAATCATTGCTGATCTTGGTTATGTTTTTGAGTTGAAAGATATGGGGCAACTATCCTATTTCTTGGGGCTATAGATTTCGTATCATAGTAATGGGGCTATTTTTGTACATCAGTCAAAGTACGCAAAGGATTTGCTAGCAAAGGCTGGTATGAGTACATGTAAAGCATGTTCTACCTAGGGATGGCAACGGGCCAGGTATGGTCCGGGTTTGCCAATACTATCCCCGACCTCGATTCCCAAACCCTCCTCCGTCCCCGCCCCCATCCCCGTTTAATAAGGTTTGGGGAATCCCCGCCCCGTACCCGTCGGGGGACCATCCCCCATACCCACCCCGAATCCCCGATTTTTTAAGGAAAAAATATAAACAAGAACTCCATGAAACAAATGAAGCCCCTTGAATCAGAACAAAAAAAAACCGAATCCCCCTGAAACTAGGGATGGCAACGGGCTGGGTATGGTCCGGATTTGCCAATACCATCCCCGACCCCGATTCCCAAACCCTCCCCCATCCCCGTTTAATAAGGTTTGGGGACTCCCCGCCCCGTACCCGTCGGGGGAACATCCCCATACCCGCCCCGAATTCTCGATTTTTTAAGGAAAAAATATAAACAAGAACTCCATGAAACAAACGAAGCCCCTTGAATCAGAACCAAAAAAAAACCGAATCCCCCTGAAACTAGGGATGGCAACAGGCCGGGTATGGTCCAGGTTTGCCAATACCATCCCCGACCCCGATTCCCAAACCCTCCCCCATCCCCGTTTAATAAGGTTTGGGGACTCCCCGCCCCGTACCCGTCGGGGGACCATCCCCCATACCCCGAATCCCCGATTTTTTAAGGAAAAAATATAAACAAGAACTCCATGAAACAAACGAAGCCCCTTGAATCAGAACAAAAAGAAACCGAATCCCCCTGAAACACTAAAGAAGAAACAAATTAAGAACAAAATCGATATCAAATGAAAGTTTCAAAAAAAAAAAAATCCAAAATACCACAGTTATCAATTACTCTCCCCAACTCAAAAACTTCAAACCCATAGCAATAGAAATAGCAGACCTCCAATTCAGCAAGCACAAAATAATATAAAGAAAAAAATGCTGAAATGTGCTCAATCATGCAAAATTCAAAGTGCCCGTATTATCAAACACTCAACCAGATTGATTTGCCAATATTCTAATAAGAAAGAATAAGAGGAAAGAAGAAAGAAAAAAGAAGAAAGAAGAAAGAAGAAAGAAGAGAGAAGAGAGAAGAAAGAAGAAGGAATAAGAAAGAAGGCGGCGATGGAAGAAAAGTAAAAAGAGAAAGCGCAAATGATGTTTGTTAGGGATAGGGTTAGTGTTTTTTATTGTAGCTGGAATGCAAGTATTAAATAATTTAAATATTTCACTAAAACACAACGTTTGTTTGTGCATTGATGGTAAGCATGGGCTTGTAATTGAGAAGTCAAGGGTTCAAAACACACAACCCATCTCCAATTTTTTTTAAATATAAATATACTTTTTCCAATTTTTTGAATTAATGACATATAATTTTTGTGAATCTTGCTAAAGTCTCATTATTTTTCTTCTTTTTCTTTCTCATCTTAACACCAAAATTGTACATGGATATGGTTCTTCTTCTTCCCGCCATATATGGATATGGATACCTTGATTATGAGAGTAATTTGTGTTTCTTGTCTACCTCCGTCATATACCCATAGAGTGGTATGTGATTACCAATCTACGTTAGTCATCTAATTGATGAAGAGTTCTAATCTATGTATGACTTGGTGTTTGATTATTTAGTGTTTGATTACCAATCTACATTAATCATCCAGTTGTTGCGATAGTATATTGTCTAATGTAAATGTGATGTTTGGTGTTTGACTATTTTCGCTATCTTTGGATTATTTGAATTTGTTGATTATACATGTTTGCATATGAATTTTATTGTTTAAAATCAATGTTAGTTATGATGTTTGATTATTTCGTTATCTTTGGATTTATTGATTATACATGTTTGCATATAAATTTTATTTTTTTAAATTATAAAATCAATATTTGTTGTGGCGTTTGATTATTTTTGTTATATTTGAATTGTTTGAATTTGTCGATTATACAAGTTTGCATACGAATTTTGTTTTTTAAAATCAGTATTTGTTATGGTGTTTTGATTTTTTCCATTATATTTGGATTGTTTGAATTTATTGATTATTATAAATGTTTGCATATGAATTTTGTTTTTAAAATCCATGTTTGTTAGCTGGAACTGGAATCATGACCATTAAATTAATTAATTGTTTCTTTATAACAAAAGGACCCTTAGTGGAGTATTGGTAAGCTCTTGAGTTTTAAAGGAGGAGGTCATGGGTTCGAAACCCCTTGCCTCCATCCAAAAAATGTTTAAAGGTTTTTAAAATATATATTAATTAAAATT